TTATAAACAGGACGATATATCAAATTAAGGGCTATTAAATTTAGAACCTCACGTTCATTTATCATTTTTCAATAAGTCTACACGATTTTAAGATATTAAAATAAAAAATAAGAAAACTATGATTTTCCCATATGAATTTTCAATTATTCATTACTTCAGCAACCAAGTGAAAAATACAAAAAAGTTGGACGAGATTTATTTCAAACCTTTTAATGTTTATATAATATTAAAATGACCATGGACTGGTCACGCCGATTTGGTCAGTTTTCAAGATCGTGGTGAATGAATGTATTGTCAAAGATTAGGAATCGTTCGACAAGTTAATAGTAGTTTCAAACATATAAGTATTTACATACATTACAATTAGGTTGAGAAACGCCTATTTTAAGTCCATTTTTGCAGTCTTGAAAACTGGTGCGGAATGGTTTCATTAGTCGCCGCAGAAGCACATTTTTCGCGGTTTCTAAATTTGCCGTTATATGAAAGTAGGGGACGTGCAATAAGTATTTAGATATACATAAATATTTTAGTTATGTGAAAAAGTGTCTGTAGGTAAATGCAATAGTTTTCAACATATCCTGGGAAATCCTTTTGAGGACTCTCCAATTGGACGATATTGCTTTGCATTCAGCTTGAACGAAAAAAGTCACTCGCTGGCACAGTTTTCTGTAATCCGGTTCTTTTATTTAAAGGTTATTTATACAATTGAAGAGAAATTTTTTTAGAAAAAAACTGGAAATCCACTTAAGCTTTTCGATATAACTTTGGTAAATGTTACTCGATCGGTGCGTAATAATTAACAAATTGAAGGCGACACTTAATATTACTGATTTTTGATAATAATATGACTAAAATAGTTCGGATTATAAACAAATTATTTTAAAATAAAAAAAATCTTGAACAAAATTTTTTATCATTTTCTTATATTTGCAATTTTTATATTGTATGCATAAACATAAGTAAACCAATTAGTGTGTCTAGAAGTTGTGCCTGTTCAGTGTTTCCATACTAATTTGCATAAACAAAATTTTTCCGCGATGATGGAAAATAATGGCTATTCTATTAGAGCTACCGAAATTGTTCCTAAATTTGCAAAAAATCGCAAACTATAGCTAATATTAAAAAAGGATTAGAATATTTGGAACTAGCAATCTAAATGCACGCCAGCAATATTAATGTTGTTCTTTACATCTTTTGACTATAGGCCAATGCAATTATCAAGAGAACAATTAAAATTTTCTTGAAAAAGGATGAGTTTGAGATTAACGATAAGATAAACGGCTACGCGAAATGATACTTGACTTTATCTTTTGCGTTAAAGGATTCATTATCTAATAATATGCACCAAAAGTTTTGGCTGAACCCAGAATTTTTAACAAGAATTTGTCTTATTCGACTAGTGTGCTGTGGGTCACTTGGCGGTCGATGCGCGGGCTCTTACAATTAAAATGAAAGACTAATATTTCGCAGGCTTGTTGTTGACTTCATGATTCACTATTACCAAGGGATTTGAGAAGAATTAGATTTTCGCCCCCCCCTAATGTATATGTTCAAATCTGCTCTTTGGAATTGGAATTATGCTCACAGGGGATTTTGTGTGACGATGAATTTTAGATTTCTGGCAACTTATACGTCCTTTGGACCATATATTTATCTCCTTGGTCATACAAGGCCAATAATACTTCTTCACAATTAATCGGCGTGTAGCCTTGGTACCAGGATGAGCAATTCCTGCGCAAATTATTTGGAACGAAAGGTCTAGGACCTTCTCCTGACACTTCACACCAAATATTAAAATCTAGAACAGGAATTTTAATTAAGTTAAGATTTTGAAACGTTTGTCCAGAAATAACCCTGCAAAAAATGCGACTAATCCGGGATGACTCCGGGAGCAATCGCAACCCTGCAAAAAATGCGACTAATCCGGGATGACTCCGGGATCAATCGCAAAGGAACAT